ATCAATTTCTTAGATTATTTTGATTTTTGTTATTATGATAAACCGTCCTATATTAAACATATGAACCATACATTTCAACGGCTTGCCAATTTATTAGAGAAATTGAAATCGTTGATCACATTACGGTATTATCCACATTTACAGATTTATAGACCTGTAAAATTTAACTTATTAATGAGTGACCCTAATAAATTCACACCGAAGGTGTCTCCAAAAATTAGCTAGAACTTCCACAATTGGATGGTAAAGATCTTTATGCATAGATGAGCTTCCCTAGCTCAAAGATGTTTTGATTTCCCTAATATCTCGGATGCACAACAAGTACAACTCATACCTTTTTTTTTTTTTTTTTTTTTGGGTGTAAACCACAATGTGGTTCGGATCTTTCTCTATCCGTTTAACGGTCCATGTTCACCCGATTGGCTTCGAGAGGCACAGAAGCTGGCCCAAAGGGAATCATCCATTGTGGGAATCGAACCCGGGTTATAGATTTTAACATGGATGAAAAGACATATAGATAGATGATATAAAGGATTAAAAACTAGAGCTATCAAAGTGAATCGGCGGGGTTGTCAAAGCCCGGCCGCCCCTACCCTCCTTAGGCCCACGGGTTTAGGCGGCAGCAATTATACTGTGGACAACGATCCATAAAGCTTTGTGGACCATGGTCCAAAATGGTAGTGTATCTAAACTGACACTGTCTCACGTATTATTTTTATTATATTATCAAATGAAATTGCAATTGAATTGAAATGAAACTGTAGTTGTGTTGAAATGAAACTGCAGTGTATACAAAATGAGACTGAATAACAATTTCACATATTTGAGTGTATATTGTCAACGCCGAAAAGTCGCTAACTCTGCCCAGACGACGTGGAGGGATAGACAAAAGGCGTTGAGCGTCGAGCACGAGCATGTTATGAACCAAGAGCTTGAATAATATAATATTCAAGATAATTAATGTTATTTAATTTGTATATATTGTTTACAACTTTTATTTGTATAGGTTACAACTGTCATATTTCATCTTTATCTTCCTTATTTATAGGAGTTTGTTAAGGTAGGCTATAAGATTGAGTCGAATGTATTGGAAGGATTATGGAATGGAATGGAATGAATGAAATTAAAATTTCTTCTTCACTCTTATCTGCAGCTCTCTGTAATTCTATTCTTCCCTTTCTTTTCTGTTCTTTCATTTTCCTTCTTTCTACGAATCTCAGCTCTTGCTTCACCTATAATTTTGCTTATGCCCTTAGATCATCACATTTGGTATCACTCTCTTTCCTGAGCAAGAATGGTAACCAACTTAGATAAATTCAAGGCACTACAGGAAAAGCAAGTTGAGTTTGATGAAAGGTTGGAGGCAACAAGACCGGAAGTGCAAGCTTCCAGGCAAGAAGCAAGAACAAACTCAGAAAATATGATGAAGGTCATGGCAGGCATGAGAGCTGAAATGTTGGAGTTATTACGCCTCAATAGGCCTACAACACCCGTAATTGAAACTGTAAGATATATTAAATATAATATATCTATGTATATAATTTGAGAGGGGAGAAAGAGAGGAATAAGAGAATTTATTTTGCTTCTTGATGATGAAAAAAACTTTGCAACATACTAAAGGATAAACTAACAAAGCTAGCTAAAAATTAGACAATAATCACTAATGCTCCATGTGTTGATATCAATGTGTTTGATGCAACCATGAAAGACAGGATTCTTCGACAACGAAATTGCAGACTTGTTGTCACAGAAAATAGTTGTAGGTGTTTCCTGATTGTGTTGTAAGAACTCCAAAATTCTCCTAAGCCAAACTACTTGAGTAACACAGTTTGCTGCTGCAATATATTTTGCTTCTGCGGTTGAAAGTGCTACAATCTGCTGCTTCTTTGAAGACCAAGAAAATATAGTTGAACCAAGATAGAAGGCATATCTTGATATGCTTTTTCTGGTCTCAACATCTCCAACCCAATCATTGTCTGTATATCCAACAAGTTTCACAGCTTCATTAGTAGAATAAAAAATTCTATCATTACTCGTACCTTTGACATATCTCAGAATTCGCTTTGCTGTAGCCCAATGAGATTCTTTTGGTTCCTCCATGAATCTACTAAGTATTCCAACTCCAAAAGAAATATCTGGCTTTGTTGCCACCAGATACCTCAAACTTCAAATTAAGCTTTTATAAGATGTAACATTCACATTCTTACCACACTCATCTTTGGACACCTTTAACTTTTCAGCTAACTGAGTTGAAACTGGTTTGGAATTTTCCATTTTGAACTTTTTTTCAAAATATCAGCCGCATACTTCTTTTGTGAAATAATGATTCCACCATCCATCTGAACAACCTCAAGGCCAAGAAAGTAAGACATAAGGCCCACATCAGTCATTTCAAATCTCTTAATGAGTGCCTCCATAAATTCTGGGATTATTTTCAAGTTGCTTCCAGTAAAAACTAAATCATCAACATAGAGACAAATTATAACAATATCACCAGAATTAGTGCATTTGACATACAAAGTGTGAGCATATATCCATTACTGTGCAATCTAACTATCAGCTTAAGCTTTTAGTTGAGATAGAGCATAAGCTTCAATTTGGTATCAGAGCCAGACTAAAGGTCATGGGTTCGAATCTCAGTGACTACGGTTTACCGGTCCACAACTTAAGCTTTTAGTTGAGATGGAGCACATGCTTCAATTCAAAGTATGTTCATGAGGACATCTCATAAAACCACTTTCAACAAAATAAGAGTCAATGCAACCATACCATGCCCTAGGCACTGTCTTTAAGACATATAAGGTTTTTCTCAACATGTACACTTTATTTTCCTCCCCTTTCTTCACAAACCTTGCAGGTTGCACAACATAGATTTCTTCTGGTATAAAATCATTCAAAAAATCATACTTGACATCCATTTGATGCAATTTCCAAGTATCAAGTATTAAAAATATAAATTAATTTAAATTAATTTTTAAAAAATAAAAAATAAAATAAAAAGACACGGGCGCCTAGGCGCCGATTAATTCCCGCCTAGGCGCTAGGCGCTTCTCGAGCGCCCGAGGAGCGCCTAGCGATTTTTTCTACCATGATTGCAGGTTCTATATACAACTTTTCCTTTGATCACCTTATCCAAATATAAAATACTTTTTTTTAAAAGTGCATAAACTTTAGTAGGAAAACTGACATAAAGTTATGTATTGTTTTCCATGTTCTATTATTTAGGAATACATTAATCAGTTATCATATTAAAAGCTATCCTAAGACCACTCATATTGTAGGACCATATATATGACCATGACATATTTGATAATAAGTTATGTTTCTAGAAATAGTAGGTTTATTTCTTTATGTGTTAATTTATTATCAAATCTTCTTCATCAAATAAAAGTGATAAAATTAATTAGGGGGGGAAATCACAAAAGAAATACCCAAATTTATATAAATTTTTTTTTTGAGAAACCAAATTTATATAATTATATCACCTACTATACTCACATTTACAATTTTGTTTAAATTAGAAAAAAGTTGTTTAGTTTCAAAAAAAAAAAAAAAAAAAGAAAAAAGTCGTTTAAAATATTTAATACCATTTAATAATGTTTTATTGAGATATAAAATATTAATATTTTCTCTAAACAAAATGTTTTAAAACTGTTTAAATTAATATTTTTTACACTCACATTAATATTTTAAAATTGACTAATCGTGTCATATTCATTTTTTTAGAAGTTATATATTAAATTAAAGTTAGATTACATATTATATATATTCATATTAAGGTTCCGTTTGGAAACCTTGAAAATGTCTTATGAAAAACGATTTTATGAAAATAATTTATTTTCTGAAATTTTTTTTAATTATCTAATGTTTGACTTAATGTCAGAATTTCTTTTTGTTTGGTTGAAAGTTAAGAAATTGTATTTTTTTCATTTGGTTCATTTTCCAAAAAATAAACATATTCTATTACGACTTTCTAAATACACTTTTAGTTATCTACGAATGTACTGTAAAGTATTTTTAAATTCATATATATATATATATATATATATATATATATATATATATATGTATGTATGTATGTATGTATGTATGTATATATATATATATATGTATATATATATATATATGTATATATATATTTATGTTTAAGTTCCAGTGCGGGTGAATGTTTCCCGTACGGTTGTGCGGGTGATTAATGTGCGTGAGTTTTGTACTTATAAATGTGCGTGAGTCTTGTGCTTAAGGTGCGTGAGATTTGTTCTTAATGTGTGTGAGTGTGTAATGCTTAATGTGCGTGAGTGTGTACTTAATGTGAGTTGCTGTGTGAGTTGTTGAAACTTTAAAGTGCATGAGTTTTGTGCTTAATGTGTGTGAGCCTTATGCTTTAGGTGCGTGAGTCTTGTGCTTAAGGTGCGTGAGTTTTGTACTTAATATGCGTAAGTGTGTACTTAATGTGAGTTGTTGTTAAAATTTAAGGTGCGTGTGTTTTTGTGCTTAATGTGAGTGAGTTTTGTGCTTAAAGTGCGTGAGGGTTGTGCTTAAGATGCGTGACTTTTGTGCTTAAGGTGCGTGAGTTTGTGTTCTGAATGTATTTTGTTTGTGTGTTTAATGTGCGTGTGTTGTGTACTTAAAGTGCGCCAGTGTAATGCTTAATGTGAGTCCACCCGCACAACTGCACGGGAAACACCACCCACACCTGATCCATTCCCTACAGGGGCAGAGCCAGGATTAACCAATGCGGGGGGCCAGCCACGATTTAAGACAGAATAATGAAATATTATAATATTCATTTAACATGTTCCAAAATACATCATTATATTACAAATCTACTAAAATTTAGACCGTCTCTCTTGCATATCACGAAAATCATCTATAATTGAATCTATACTAAATTGTTTTGCAATTTGCTTTTCAATGTATACTAACAAACAATCACTAAGAAATTCATCTTCCATCTTGTTACGAAGTGTAGTCTTGACTATATTCATGGCAGAAAAAGATCATTCTGTAGTAGCTGTAGATACTGGAAGTGTGAGAACAAGAGTTACTACTCTGAACACAAGAGGATAAATGTTCGATTTTCTAGTTTTTACCAACCATCGGCATAGATCAGAAATACTTTCTAGTGTTCTAAAATTAGGAAGTTGTTGCACATGTTCAAAATGTTCAAGTTGCACTCTCAATTGCAAAGTCTCATAATCTTCAAAGTCTTGTGGGTAAAACTTCTCTACCAACTTGCAAACATCATCAATTCTGAATGATATATGCATCTCTTTTGGATCTAACGATGAACTGAGAACAATTAACTCCATTGCTTTATGATCAAACCTATTGCTCAACTCTTGCAACTGATAATCAATCACCGCATAAAAAATATCAACTTTGTAATGATGCCCAATTGTTAATTCATCTTGTTGATGTCTAGCCCTTCCTCTTCTTGCAATATATTGAGCATCAAAATCCGGCACAGTTATATTGACAGTTTCACAAAAAGACTTCACACTTGCAACTAATTCATCCCATCCACTATCTCTTAAAGTTTGAATAAGCAATTTAGTAGATGATACAAGATGCATTGCATTCAATATATCTTGAGATTGAAGTTGCAAAGCTTGGCAAAGCATATTAGAAATCTCCAAAACTTTTTTCATGAGATGCATAATGAATACAAATTCAAAAGAAGTGAGTACCTCATAAGCTGCATCGGCATCTCCACGGTGAGCATATGTAGTTCCATTTTCAATAATATTAAGTAAAACTTCACATGTTTCACTAAACATTCTCATCAAACTTGATATAGATTTCAAATGAGAACTCCAGTGAGTATCACCTGGCCTTTGTAAAGAACCAATTTGGTTAAGGCCCCTCCCACTTTCTAGCTCATCAATACTAAGCAAATGAGAAATATTTGAGGCATGAGCAGCTTTTAATTGGTCATTGCGCTTACATGAAGCCCCAACAACATTAATAATGGAGTTTAACTTAGTGAAAAACTGATGGACAGGGATGACTTCCTTTGATGAAGCTACTAATGCCAATTGCAATCGATGTGCAAAACAATGAACATAATAAGCATAAGGACATTCATCCAAAATTAAAGCTTTCAATCAATTCCATTCTCCACGCATGTTACTTGCACCATCATAACCTTGTCCCCAAATATTTTGAACATCAAGATTATGACGAGATAAGATAGAAAAGATGTCCTCTTTCAATGTTGATGCACTAGTGTCCTTAACATGAACAACTCCAAAGAAACGCTCTTGTATAAAGTCATCTCTATCAACAAATCTCAAGACAATTGACATTTGTTCCTTCTTTGATTCATCTCGAGCTTCATCAACAATGATACAAAATTTTGCATCACCAATTTCTTCTCGGATTGCACTTTTTACTTTAGTTGCCAACACTTGCAAAATTTGCTTTTGTATTGTTGGTGATGTATATGATGCATTTCGTGGAGCTTTATCAAGAACTTTTGTTACTTCATCATTAAAAGAGGCAATGAAACTCAATAGCTCTAAAAAGTTTCCACGGTTCGTTGATGTTATTGACTCATCATGACCTCTAAAAGAACATCCTTGAAATGCATGCCATCTTGTTGCCTCAATTGAAGTTCTCAAGCGAAGTCTATTCTCTGCTATTTCTTGAGATGTGAATTTCTCAATATGTTGCGCAATGTGTGATTGTTGGTTCATGAGATCCGCACAAGCTTTCTCGGCATTTCGGTGAGGGGAGGTGAAATCTTTCCCAATATGTGCTAAAAATGAGCAATTTTTTCCATCTCTAACTTTCTTCCATGATCTAAACCCATTGATAGTAAAAGCATCCAATCCGGAAGGCCCATCTTGAGTATGAAACAAATAACATGGTAGACAAAATGCTGCATCTTTACTAGGAGAATATTCTAACCAAGAAGGGAATAACTTAAACCAAGATGCCTGAAAACTACGAGGATGTTTTTCTCCCGATTTTGGATACTTTGAAAGCAAACATTGATATGGGCCAGCCTTGATATAAGATCTCCTAACTTCATCACGCTTCTCAATTGGGCACTTCCATATTGGTAGTCGCAATCCCGGATCGCGTTCTAATGCTTGAATATCAAACTTTTCATTGATTTCAACTCTTTGAGCTTTTTCAGGACGACTTTCTGAATTCAATGGTTCAATAATTGCAAATGGATTTACTTGAGATGTTGAATCTTCAGAATTCTTTCTTTTAAAAAAAGATCTATTTTTTGTGTCTTTTTCATTTCAACTCAATCTTCTCATGTTCACACGGTTAATATTTTGACCAATTAATTGAATTAACTAAAACCCAAAAGAAAAAAAAATAAACAAACAAAGATATTGTGTACTGCCAATTAATACTCATCAAAATCAATATTGTGTATTGTCAATTAATATACTAATTAAACACAATTATATTAACTATATAATACAGTAGTTAATAAACACATCAAATCACCAAATTAATAAAGACAAATAAATCCTAATTAATACTGTGTACTGCCATTTTCAAAACTCATTAAATCACCTAATTACTCCTCATGCATAAACTATATATACTATATAAATTATATATTATGTTGTTTATGAAAAGATAGAGTAGTAACATCAATGGTTCTAACTTCTTCTTAACTAATTTTTAATTTAAGTTGATTTGGCATTCTAATGATCTAATTTTTTGTCTGCATGAATTGAATATGCTAGCTTCTGATCTCTTTCTCCTAGCTAAAATCATCATATATAACACTGACCCTTTCTGTAATTAGAACATCATCTCAAATCCACAACAATGGCATATATTCCTCAACTAATACTGTCATTTTCAAAACTCATCAAATGACCCATTTCATTATGCACTAGTATTTAAATTCTAGCAAATTAAATCTTATAGAACTCTTAAAAGTATAAACATACACCAACAAAAGGAGAAGGACGACACTCCAAACAGGATCCAGCTTCCAGCCGGCACTACTCGTAGCCAGTAGCCCGAGTTCACCGCGGTTGCCATCGTCAACTGAAGAAACGAAAGAGAGAATTTAGGCATTTAGCTACCATTTAACTACAATATCTAGACTTTTTATTGTAGTGAAGAATGATGAATTTATCTCCAATAAAGAATAATTCATAAAAAAAAAATCAAAGATTTAAATAATAAAAAAGAAATGTAAAATTACCTATACATTTGCTGCTTGAAAATGGAAGAGAAATGGCTTGTGTGTATTGCTTTGATTCGTGATTTGTGTGTATTTCTTATCTTCTTTCAAATTTGATTTGCGTATTGCTTTCGAGTTTCGAGCAGTCCAGTATGCGGGTTGCAGGTTTGGTTTGGAATTGGGTTAACTTGTGAAAGCTTACACAAGAAGCTTTGTTTGAGGAGGAAAAATATTTCGATGACTATTGACGAATGAAGGACCACAATTGACTTACACTAATAATATATTTTTTTTGGGGGGGGGAGGGGGGGGGGGGGTGCCAAGCCGCCGAGGCCCCATATTGCCTAATAGGCTAATACTAATTATATATAAAAAAAAAAAAAAAAAGAAAAATTGTTGGGGGGGGGGGGGGGGGGGGGGTGGCCAAGGCCCCCTGCAAGTGGCATGTCCCTCCGTCCCTGACCTTAAACATGTAAATACTCCGTATGTAATACCACAACAATAATCTAAAGTATTAATCGCACTGATATTTCGAATTGGCATTTTAGAAAATTTATATTATATTTTTTTTTCTGTAACATACGTATTACAAATTGAAATCTCATCACTACTATTAAATACATCACAATTATAACTATCGAAACAGGTCGACAGAACGGGCTAAAAAACTTGTCAAAATATGAGCCTAAGGTAGGCCAGCCCACCCTACCCCACCTTATGCTCGCAGGCCATGGTGGTGGCCGCCAAAATCAAAAAGTTTAATTTTAAATAAAAACTAAGATAAAAAAAATTAATAAGTATATACTAAAATAATTTGGATAGTTTAAACATATATTAATGCATTTTTAATTTGTTAAACTTAATAATAAATAATAAAATAATAAGTCTTAATAAATAATCAAATATATAATGCGTTAATATATGGATCAATGAAAAATTAGTTATACAATCTACTAATTACGAATATACATTTTCAATATAAATAAATAATATATATATTAATATATATATATATATATATATATATATATATATATATATATAATAGTGTATATATTTACACTAATATTGTTAATGTACACCGTGCACATACTATCGGGGCGGGAAAAAGCCCGTCAAAAAATTCAAAACACGTCCCACCCTTTTGGGGCAAATTATGCCACGTTCACTATGCGCATGATTAACATGTGATAGGTCCATAATTTCTAAGCTGTAGATCCATAATTATTATGGATCTACCACATAGAAATTATGGATCTCCATAATTTCTATGTTGTAGAAATTATGAATCTACAGTACGGTATTGAAACTATGAATCTACAGTATAGAAATTATGGAGATTCATAATTTCTATGTTGTAGATTCATAATAATTATGGATCTACAGCTTATAAATTATGGATCTATCACGTGTTCACCATGCGCATGGTGAACATGGTTCCACAGCATAACTATTGCCCTTTTGGTGAGGCGGGATGGGCTAAGCCCATTTTGACGGCTTTAATCACAATTCAAATGAAATGTTATCTCATGCATCAATAGTTATGCCATGGACCTGGGGCCACCTTGCAAGGTGGACCCGATCAAAATACACAATTTATATACTGAATAATCACAAATTACATACTGAATATTCACAATTCAAATTGTGAACATTCAGTATGTAAATTGTGAATATTTAGTAGGTCAATTGTGAATATTAAGTATATAAAATTTGTGAACATTCAGTATGTCAGTTTTGAACATTCAGTATATAAAAATTGTCAACATTCAGTATGTAAATTGTGAAAATTCAATATATAAATTGTGTATTTTTGGATCCGGATCCACTACATAATTTGCCCTCATGCATAGCCCGGATTCTACACTAATTATTATAACAAATAAAAATAAAGATTGCAAATTAATTATCATAATTATATTCTTTGTTTATGTGCTTCAAATTAAAGTCATGTATTATCTTTTTTTAAAGGTTTTTAATATATAATAATAATTGTTAAATTAAAAATTAGATGTGTTTCTACAATTATTTTTTATAACTATTATGAGATGTTTATAAAATCATTTCTATTATATTATTATATATATTAAATAATTCAAATTTTAATAACTTACAAAATAAAAGTTCATTAGCCAATGAAATAGTGATGCGAGTGATGCGTATGTATTTTAAAATTTTCCTTTAGTATGGTAAGGGAAAATTAGTCACTAAGGGCATCTATAATAAATTTGGAGGAGATGATTTTTCAACAAATAGTATGCTTGGTTTTTCTTTGGATTAAAAAAAAAAAAAAAAAAAAAAAAAAAGGCAACATGCTTGGAGCGCACAGTGCGCCTATTGGGGCGCTTTAGAGTGGCCGCCAACTGGCGCAGTTGTTATGCAAGGTGGACACGGTTTCAAATTGTCTTCAGGAAATCTATGTTCATAATTACTGAACTCTGTGTTCATAATTTTTGAAGTTCATAATTTTTGAATTTCATATTCACAATTATTGAATTCTATATTCACAATTACAGAACTCTATGTTCATAATTATAGAGCTCAATGTTTATAATTATAGAACTTTATGTTCATAATTTTTAAACTCTATATTCACAATTATGAACAATTTTGAAATCGTGTCCACCAGCATAATTTGCCCAACTGATGGCCACTCTAAACAAAACCTTTGCTTTTTTATTTTTTATTTTTTTATTTTTAAATTCTGTCAATTTTTTTTTCTCTTCCCTTTTTTCTCTCTCTCCCCTCTCTCTTACTTGACTTCTTAAAAACAAACAAAAGTCTTCAACTATTAAGGATACTCTAAGTGGATCCATGTATATTGCAGGTTCTATATACAACTTTTCCTTGATCACCTTATCCAAATATAAAATACCTTTTTAAAAAAAAAGTGCTATCAACTTTTAGAGTAGGAAAATTGACATAAAGTTATGTGTTATTTTCCCCAGTTCTATTATTTAGGAATACATTAATAAGTTATCATATTAAAAGCTATACTACGACCACACCTCCTATTGTAGGACCATATTATATGACCATGACATATTTGGTAATAAGTTATGATTCTAGAAATAGTAGGTTTATTTCTTGATGTGTTAATTTATTATCAAATCTTTCATCAAATAAAAATGATTAAATTAATTAGGGGGAAAATCACAAAAGAAATACACAAAGTTATATAAATTGTTTTTGAGAAACCAAATTTATATAATTATATCACCTACTATACTCACATTTACAATTTTGTTTGAATTAGAAAAAAGTTGTTTGATCTGTCAAAAAAAAAAAAGAAAAAAGTTGTTTGAAATATTTTAATATCATTTAATAATGTTTTATTGAGATATAAAATATTAATATTTTCTTGAAACAAAATGTTTTAAAACTGTTTAAATTAATATTTTCTACACTCACATTAATATTTTAAAATTGACTAATCGTGTCATATTAAAAAAAAAAATTAGAAGTTATATATTATATTAAAGTTAGATTACATATTATATATATTCATATTAAGGTTCCGTTTGAAAACCTTGAAAATGTCTTCTGAAAAACGATTTTATGAAAATAATTTATTTTCTGGAAAAAATTTTAATTATATAATGTTTGACTTAATGTCATAATTTCTTTTTGTTTGGTTGAAAGTTAAGAAATTGTATTTTTTCATTTGGTTCATTTTTCAAAAAATAAACATATACTATTACGACTTTCTAAATACACTTTTAGTTATCTACGAATGCTATTGTAATAGAGTCAATAGTATTCAAATTATATATATATATATATATATATATATATATATATATATATATATATATATATATATATATATATATATATATATATATATATATATATATCTTGATCGTAATAGGTTCTGAGCGCTAGTGGGCGGTAGAGTAGCGCCTAGCGCTTTAGCAGCTAACAAAAGAAAAAAACAGCTAGTGCACATGTGTGAGTATATGTCATATTATATATATATATATATATATATATATATATATATATATATAATCTGGTTCATGTTTTTTTTTTTTATAATTATTATTATTATTATTAGAACAATTGACATAAAGTTATTTGTTTTTCTTCATGTTTTATTATTTGGAAATCCATTAGTTAGCTATCAAATTAAAAGCCAGAGTAGGACCGGCCATACCTTGTATTGTAGAGCCATATACATATAATTATGACATATATCCTTCTTCATGTTCAGGTGCGGTTAATTTATCCTTTTATTAGTCGAAAAAGCTCTGAATGTTTTTAAACTATTCAATCCCGCGCGCGCGCACATATTGGGGCATAGGGCGACCGGGTTCACATAAGATCTGCAGACAAATTTCATCCTCTATTTAAA